GTCATTAGCATATCAAGCTTTCTGTGAACTGATTTTACTCAGAGAAGCCTCTTCTTGCTCATCTTGGTATTTCCAACACCCTGCCTGGTAGACAACAACATTGTGCAGTGATTGACATGTAGTCTTGCAAACAAAGACGCCTAGAGTCCAGTCTTGGTTCAGTAGTGTCCTAGTTGCTAGTTCAGTAGTGTTCCAGTAGTGTCCTTGGTTCAGTAGTGTCTGGTTGCTTCATTTGTAAACTGCGGATAATAACATAACCTTATAGAGCTCTTGGAAAAACTAAATAAAGTAATGCTTGCAAATTATTCGGTATACGTCTTGACACATAGCATTGTAATAATTATTAACTATAATAACAAATATAATCGTTTAAGATGCTATTTAGGTCCTTCTTTCATCTACGTCCCCTTCTCAAAATATGTTCCTGGGCAGAATGCTCTGACATAAGTTTCAGGACACATTGAGAACATTAAGCTCCATGGCGTCAGAGGCTGGACTGCTTTTTTTGACTTCTCATCTGCAGCTCCAGCTGTGTGCCTGGCACATAGCAGATGTTCTTTAATATTTGCTTAATAAGTGAGCCATTGGTCTAAACATTACCTCGATCTCTGAATCTTATTCAGAATAGGTTTTTCTCTCAGGAGCACAGCCTTTCCTAACATCCTCTCCAATGAAGGGTTCTCATTCTGCCCCCTCAGATGCACTTCAGGGTCAGAAGATAGGCTCGATACTTCCTGCACCTCAGTATCAGTTCTCCATCCTTGAGCACAGACATAATAGGTGATCTTAAAACCCTGTAAATACAAAGGGTCAGCCAAACAAGAAGTTGAAGAAATAAAATCAATAAACTACAAGCTAGCCTAACCAAGAAAGAAAGAGAGAAGATCCAAATAAATAGAAATAGATACGAAAAAGGAGGCATTACCTCTGATATCACAGAAGTGCAAAGAATCATTAGACACTATAATGAACACAAATTGATAAACTTAGAGCAATGGATAAATTCCAAGCTATATACAACCTACCAAGATGAAACCAGGAAGACACAGAAGACCCGAACAATAAAAGTTACACAATTGAATCAGTAATAGAAAAAAAAAAAAAAGGCTGTCACCGAGGAAAAGCCCAGGACTGGATGGCTTTACTGCTGAATTCTACCAAACTTATAAAGAAGAACTAACATCAATTCTTCTCAAGCTATGCCACAAAAATCAAAGAGGAGAGAAATTTAAACATTCCATGAGGCTAGTATTGCCCTGATATCAAAACCAGAGAAGGAAACCACACCATCAAAAAAGAAAATGGCAAGTCAATATCCCTGAAAAATATAAATGCAAAACTGCTCAAGAAAATGCTGGCAAATCAAATCCAACAACACATCAGGAAGATAATATATCATGATCAAACGGAATTTATCCCAGGGAAGCAAGGATAGTTCGACATGCACAGATCAATAAACATGGTACAATATATACATACCTACTATGTAGTCGCAAAGATTTTTTTTTTTTTTTTTTTTTTTTTATGAGACGGAGTTTCACTCATGTTACCCAGGCTGGAGTGCAATGGCGCGATCTCGGCTCACCGCAACCTCCGCCTCCTGGGTTCAGGCAATTCTCCTGCCTCAGCCTCCTGAGTAGTTGGGATTACAGGCACGCGCCACCATGCCCAGCTAATTTTTTGTATTTTTAGTAGAGACGGGGTTTCACCATGTTGACCAGGATGGTCTCGATCTTTTGACCTCGTGATCCACCCGCCTCTGCCTCCCAAAGTGCTGGGATTACAGGCTTGAGCCACCGCGCCCGGCGCAAAGATTTTTAAAAATGAAAATAATTGCACAGACTCCCCCAACCCCAATCTTCAGCACTTTTCTTGTCTTGCCCCACCCCAGGACCACCACTCAAAGCCTCAAGTCTATCAGAATTTCTCCCTCCAGTCTGCCTCCTCTCCATTTCACCTTATAATAATTCCAGAAGCTTCTGTAGTTAATATATAAGGCAGAAAGGAATTCCCAAGCTGGTCTGTGGAGTCCCACCCAAAGTTGGACCCCAGCTGCCTGGCTGACTGTGAGCTCCTTTTCCATCCCTTTCGCTCTCCCCCATCCCACCACCTGGGGAGACTTGAGCAAGCCCTGTGGTTTATTTGCAAAGTCCTTCCCCAGGAAGGGCAGAGGCCAGGGCCTAGGAGAGAGGGAGCCCTGGGAAGTGGGATGGCCCCAGACCCAGAGTAGCGAGAGACCACTGGGGACAGTGAGGAGTGAGAAGGCTGAGGGCACCGTGGTCCTCATTCCACCCACCTTACCTTCTGCCATCGCTCTTAAAAGACATGTTGCTCTGTGCATTATTTGTGGTTGGTGAGGGAAGGTGTGCCATGCATTTGCACTGGCAGAGCCCCTGCTAACTCTTCAGAGGCTACAAGGAGCCCAAAGCTGGCAGATGCTGCAGACGCCCACAGGTTAGCTTCTCAGGGCTGAGTCCCAGAGCCAGCTTCCCATTGGCCAGAGGCTGGCTGATGTGTCTTTGTGATAAAGTTATTAAGCTTGTAGCGCCTCCCTCAGGGAAGGGTGGTGGTTGCAGCTAGGGGAATGTGTGGAGGCTGGATTGATTTATTTATTTTGAGACTGAGTCTCACTGTGTCACCCAGGCTGGAGTGCAGTGCTGCCATCTTGGCTGACTGCAACCTCTGCCTCCTGCGTTCAAGTGATTCTCGTCTCATCCTCCCAAGTAGCAGGGACTACAGGTTCATGCTACCACACCCAGCTAATTTTTGTATTTTTCTTTTAGTTAAGACAGGGTTTCGCCATGTTGGTCAGGCTGGTCTTGAACCCCTGACCTCTAGTGATCCACCTGCTTTGGCCTCCCAAAGTGCTGGGATTACAGTCATGAGCGACTGCGCCCAGCGTGGAGGCTGAATTTAGAACAGGTCCACTGCAAGGATGGTGCTGAGCTTTATCAAAAGGTGGCGCTGCGGCGCAAGGGGTCTAGAGTAACTGGCAGGCAGAATCGGAGGCATCCTGGGCCCTTTGGGGACAAGAATTTATTCTGGGATATGGAGGAGACAGTCTGATGGAGGAGGCCTAGTTCCATTTTGGGTGGGCCGCGGGGGGTAGGGGGTGGCTGATTTAGCCACTCATTCATTCATTCATTCATTCCTCAGCAAATATTTTGAAAACCTGTTGCATGCCACATGCTGTGTTGAGCGTACAGTGATGTGCAAGGCAATGGTTTGGCCCTTCACAGAGTTGGCATTGAGGTGAGGGAGGTGTTCTCACCAATATTCCTTCCAGAAAAATCCCCAGGGACCTGACAATAAAAGGGTCACACACAAGATGGCACAGATCACCTCTTGACGTGGGGAGGTCAGGCTTTAGAGATGTTTATTTCATTATCAGGGGATTTGAAGGGACATATCAGGGAATCCAAAGCACCAGTGCAGAATCCCACAGCTCAGGGAACCTGGGCCAAAGAGGCTTTTTGATAGAGGGAAGTAGTAGGAAGGGGCAGCTGAGAATGAGGATGAGGAAGGACTAGGCAGCGTGTGACTGTGGTCTACAACAGACACGGACCTCAAAACTAGTGTTCCACGGGAAAGCAACCAGGCACAGAAGATCACATATCACGCCTCTAATCCCAGCACTTTGGGAGACTGAGGCAGACGGATCGCCTGAGCCTAGGAGCTCAGGACCAGCCTGGCCAACACGTCTCTACTAAAAATACAAGAAAATTAACCAGGCGTGGTGTCACATGCCTGTAATCCCAGCTACTTGGGAGGCTGACGCAGGAGAATTGCTTGAACCTGGAAGGCAAAGGTTGCAGTGAACCAAAATCGCGCCACTCCATTGCAGCCTGGGAGACAGAGTAAGGCTTCGTTTCTGTTTAAAGGAAATATTCGGGGGGGGGGGGATGCGGTGGCTTACGCCTGTAATCCTAACACTCTGGGAGGCTGAGGTGGGCAGATCACTTGAGGTCGGGAGTTCAAGACCAGCCTGACCAACATGGTGAAACCCTGTCTTTAAAAAAAAAAAAAGGAAATATTCAGAATCGATGAGTCCATAGGGACAGAAACCAGATTGGCTGGGACTGAGATGAAAGGGAGAATGAGGAATGGGGAGTGACAGCTTGAGAGGTTTGGGTCTTGTCGGGGAGTTAATGAAAACATTTGGAACTAGGAGGATCACCTGAGGTCAGGTGTTCAAGACGACCTAAAAATACAAAGTTTATCCAGGTGTGGTGGTGGATGCCTGTGATCCCAGCTTCTTGGGAGACTGAGGCAGGGGAATTGCTTGAACCCAGGGGGCGGTGATTGCAGTGAGCCGAGATTGCACCACTGCCTTCCAGCCTGGGCAATAGATGGAGACTCCATCTCAAAAAAAAAAAAAAAAAAAAAAAATATATATATATATATATATATATAAAATTTTGTATATTATAATTTTCAATAGTCTCACTCCTCTACTCACTTGCAATGTGACCTCAGACAACTGGTGCCATGGAGGGGAAGGAAGCTGGCTTGCAGCAGGTCTCTCAGAAACAGGAAGTTGTAGGGGGGAGTCAGAAGTTTTGTGGGGGAGGCCGGGCGCGGTGGCTCAAGCCTGTAATCCCAGCACTTTGGGAGGCCGAGGCGGGTGGATCACGAGGTCAAGAGATCGAGACCATCCTGGTCAACACGGTGAAACCCCGTCTCTACTAAAAATACAAAAAATTAGCTGGGCATGGTGGCGCATGCCTGTGGTCCCAGCTACTCAGGAGGCTGAGGCAGGAGAATTGCCTGAACCCAGGAGGCGGAGGTTGCGGTGAGCCGAGATCGCGCCATTGCACTCCAGCCTGGGTAACAAGAGCGAAACTCCGCCCCAAAAAAAAAAAAAATAAAAAATTAAAAAAAAAAAAAAAGAAGTTTTGGGGGAATTGTCATTGTCTACAGAGGTGGGGACACTGGATGACCCTGGAACCTCTTGACCCCCTCTCCTCAGCCCCTTCAGCGGGGCAGGAAGCGGATCTGGTACGCTGGGGGTACTCTGCCCACACCATTCTCCTGGGGTGTCAGGTCGATGTCTTCGGGAGCCATGGAGCTGGCCACGGAGAAGTTCTGGAGGATGGTGGTGAAGAAGAGGAACAATTCGGAGCGGGCGATGCCTTCACCAAGACAAATGCGCTTCCCTGTGGGCACAGAAGGTCACCAGCTGGGCACAGGGCGAGTGCACATTCCTTGCCCTGCGATGTCTCTAAGCACAGACAACCTATGTCCATTGCAACAGATCTGCATGAAAGACGACTTTAACCTACAATTCAGGTGGAGTTTCAGAGGCTGCTCTGAAACCGGGTGCACACCTTTGAGTGGATGTACCATGTTCATTTCTCTCTCTCTCTCTGTGTGTGTGTCTTTTGTGAGACAGTCTCTCTCTGTCACCCAGGCTGGAGTACAATGGCACAATCTTGGCTCACTGCAACCTCCGCCTCCTGGGGGATTCAAACAATTCTCCTGCCTCAGCTTCCTAAGTAGCTGGGATTACAGGAAGTTGTCACCAAGCCTGGCTAATTTTTCTATTTTTAGTAGAGATGGGGTTTCACCATGTTGACCAGGCTGGTCTTGAATTCCTGACCTCAGGTGATCCACCTGCCTTGGCCTCTCAAAGTGCTAGGATTACAGGCGTGAGCCACCACGCCTGGCACCACGTTCATTTTTCTAGGAGAGAGTTTGTAGCTTCTGTTAATGTTCCAAAGGGTTTGGTGACCCCCACACAGAGTATAATGGCCCACTTCTGGTTGGTTGTGTGTGTGTTCCTCTACATGTATGTGAGCATATTTATGACATTTTTAGTGTTCTTCGCTTCTCATATGGGGAGAATGGTGCCTCCCTCAAAGGGCTCTGGTGAGATTAAAGGAGAGATTTGTAAAAACTCTTAGAATAGCACTTGGCTTGTGCTAAGGAGCCTTAAGGTTTGGTTATCGCCTTGTGTTTGTTTCTGGGAGTATGTGAGGGGTATGTTTCTGGCCATGTGTCTGTGTGTGTCTCTCTCTGGCCTGTCTTCTGGTCTCAGCCTGAGATCCACAGGCTTCAAGATCTCAGCGGGGAAAACTGTGAATGGGACCCACGCAATGAGAAGGGAGGGTCTATGGCTTCCACTGATTCTCAGAGGTGCAAGGAACCCCCAGTAGGTTCTAAACCACACGCTCAAAGTTAAATGAGAACAAAGGGAGCTGGAAAAACGTGAGACAGAGACAAAGAGAGCCTTTCTGTTTACTTCAGTATTTCTTAGTATGCAAATCAGCGTTTCTTTTTGAGTTTTTTTTTTTTTTTGAGATGGAGTTTCACTCATGTTACCCAGGCTGGAGTGCAATGGCGCAATCTCGGCTCACCGCAACCTCCGCCTCCTGGGTTCAGGCAATTCTCCTGCCTCAGCCTCCTGAGTAGCTGGGATTACAGGCACGCACCACCATGCCCAGCTAATTTTTTGTATTTTTAGTAGAGACGGGGTTTCACCATGTTGACCAGGATGGTCTCGATCTCTTGACCTCGTGATCCACCCGCCTCGGCCTCCCAAAGTGCTGGGATTACAGGCTTGAGCCACCGCGCCCGGCCAGCAAATCAGCGTTTCTTAATACGCAAACCTTGGAAAGGCCATGTCAAGGGCGAGTTTTCAGGCATTCCCGACACCTGTCAAGTTGTTGGACAAGTGTGTCTACCTGAAGGTGTCTGGAAAAGGGTCCACAACCCTTTGGCACATCCAGAAGGTGGGCGACATGAGCTTAGAAACAGGCGGGCCTCTGGGCGGGTTCTTCTGTCACTATTTGTGTGACCTTTTTCCACAACGGCCTGATGCTTATCTCCCTCCTGTCATGCCCTCTCTGGGGCTATCTGTTTGGACACCTTTTGGGATTTCTTTGGCTGCAATACCCTTTTGGCTTGGCTTACAGATTTCTTTCTGCCCCTGGCAACCCTGCCCCTGGCTTTGTCTCCGTCTGTACCTGGCAGACAGAGTTTCTCTCCTTTTCTTCTCCTTTTTTTGGCTTTCTTCCATTTGCTTAACTTCCTGTCTCTGTTTGAATCTGATCCCTCCCCAATCTTTCCGGCTCCTTTCTTTTCATCTCCTTCTAAAGACACCTTATTTGTCTTATTCATTCTTTGTTCCTTTCTTCTTATGTCACTCTCTCTTTTTCCTATCTCTTATTCTGTTTCTCTCGTTCTTTCTCCCCCCCCTTCCTTGTCCTCCTCTCCCTCCTCTCATCCCCCCGCTTCTCCTTATGTGTCTCTGTGTGTCTCTCTCTCTTCCTCTCCCCATATTGTCTCATGTTCACCCACTTCTCTCTTTCTGCCACTGTCTCCTCATCTCTGTCTCTCAGTGTGCTCCTTCTTTGTCCCTAACTCGGTTTCTCAGTCTCATTATCTTTGTTACTTATCCGTCTCTGTCCTTATTTCCCTACATCTCTGCCTCTCTTAAAGCTTAGGATAGCAAAATTAAAAGAAGACATTGACGCTCAAGCCACCACCCCATGTGTTCCCAACTCTCACTGAAGATAAAATGGGGCTGGGCGTGGCGGCTCACACCTGTAATCCCAGCACTTTGGGAGGCCAAGGTGGGTGGAACATGAGGTCAGGAGTTCAAGACCAGCCTGGCCAAGATGGTGAAACCCTGTCTCTACTAAAACTACAAAAGTTAGCTGGGTGTGGTGGCAGGCACCTGTGATCTCAGCTACTTGGGAGGCTGAGGCAGGAGAATTGCTTGAGCCAGGGAGGCAGAGGTTACAGTGAGCTGAGATCACGCCACTGCACTCCAGCCTGGCAGCCTGGGTGACAGAGCAAGACTCCATCTCAAAAACAAAAAAAGAAAGAAAAGGAAAAGAAAATGGGGAAGGAGGCCACTGTACAGCACAAAACCAGGGGCTGGGCCAGGGCCCAGGATCACTGAAGCCACTGATGAAACTCAAGTCTGGGGGGTTGTTTCTGGGGCCTTTCATGGAAGGTGCATGTTAAATTAAATTTGTCCTAAAGCGGCCTCCCTACATAACAAACTGGAACCTAACTCAATATGTAAACAAACTGCAATGTAACTTGAGAATATATTCTTATAGCAAGTAACCTTGGCCAAGGTTACAGAGCAGCCACACTTCAGCCAATCACAGGCTGTGAGCTGCCCAGACACGCTCAGATAAGGCAAACACAGGGCTGTAACCAATCAGGCTGTTTCAGTATGTCACTTCCTTTGTGGGTAAACACTGCCTGACCATGTTGCTGGTGGAGCTCTCTGAACATTTACGGGCTCAGCGTGCTGCCCAATTCATGAATTGTTTCTTTGCTCAAATAAACTCAGCTAAGTTTCATTTGTTGAAAGTTTTTCTCTTAACCAGCCAAAGAGTGGAGAACGGTAACTGGGGCAAGTCAAAGCATGTCAAGACCTTCTCCACCTTCCCAGTGCTAGAGCATAAATCCAAACTCCTCCCGCAGCCTTCAAGGTTCTGCCCAGCTGAGCCCTTTATCTTATTTCCTTCTGTAATCTATACCCGAGGCTCACTGGACGTCCTGTGGCTTCTCAACTGTACCATCCTGTTTCCACCTTTGCCCTTTGCCCTTGCTGTTTCCTTTGCCTGGAACACTCCTTACAGTGGTTGATTGACATTCACCCATGAACATCTCAGCTTGGAAGCTAGTTCCTCTGGGAAGCTTTTTCTTACTGACCCGCCACAAGATTAGCTAGTATTTCCTCTTTTGTGCTCCCAGGCTCCCTTTAGAGCACTTATCACAATTATGTGTAATGATAATAATTGCCCTTGTGAGCATGCTGTTTGTGTTGGGCAGTGCTAAGCATGTTGTAGGCATTCGTTCATTTCATGAGATGATCATTGTATTTTTTTTTTATGAATGCCCATCTTCCCTGCTAGACTGTAAATTTCCTGGAGCAGGAACCGTGTCTCTGTGTGATTTGTTTGATGCATTATCTTCAGCCCCCAGTAGAGCACTGGGCTTAGGGGAGTGCTCAACAATTTTTTTTTTAAAGAAAATTGTTGAGAAACATTAAGTTTACCGTGCCCCATGGCTCCTTTATGAAAGTTACTTTTCGTTTGTAATTAGTGGTAGGCGGGTAACAGCTGCCTATCTGGTATGTTCCTGAGTTATGTGTATACGTAGAATACCTGTGTATTAATAAGAATCACTTGTCAAAGAGCAAATAAATGCGTGGATGAATCTCTGCTCAGCACCTTCGGTCTGGAGAGCTGTCAGCCCCACAGGCTCTCAGGCTGTTGGTCCCCAGATAGATCCATTCTCCTGTGCTGTCTGGGTGTCTGCCTCTCAATACCTTCAGCCTGCCTGGGCGGGGGGGTCTCCCGACTGAGCTGGTTCTCGGTAGAAAGTGAATTCACCGAGGTTTAGCAATGTTACAATATTTGCCCAAAGTCCTGCTTGCCAAGATGTGCCTTTGGGAATGTAATCTCCTTTCTAAAGCCCCCTTCCAGGGTTGTAGTGAAGATGGAATGGGATGAGGCAGGTGAAGCAATTGTAATATATTAAGTGCTCAATAAATAAGGAACAATCATTGTTTTTCTCAAGTTGAGGATAGGACTTGCCCCCTGGTGTCTGGGAAAGAAACTGTGGGTCCCACTTACCTAAGGAGAAGGGAATAAAAGCTTCATTCTTCTTCAGTGCCCCATTGGCATCCAGAAAGTGGTCAGGATTGAAGGTGTCTGGTTTTTCAAAGTAGTGTGGGTCGTGGAGAGCAGTGCTCAGGATGGGAAATACTTCCGTGCCCTGAGGGAGCGTCACAAGATCAAAAGATATTCCCATTCCCTGCCCAACCTCCACACACACACACCACAAAAAAAAAAGAAAAAAAAAAAAAACAGAAACAAAGGGACTCAATTGAGAAACCAACAAAAGGTCGAGTTTGGGGATTAAGAGAATCCAGAATGCCGACACAGGAGAGATGTGGGGGTCCAGCCAGTCTTACCTTGGGGATGGTGTACCCTCGGAAGGTCGTGTGTTGGGTGACCACGTGGGGCAAACCGATGGGGAGAAGGTCGGCAATTCTCTGAATCTCATGGATGACTGCGTCTGTGTATGGCATTTTGGCTCGGTCATCCAATGCTGGAGGGCGATGTGGGCCAATCACCTGTTCAATCTCCTTGTAGACTCTCTCTGTGCAGAAAAGAAGACAAATGAACCCCATTTTAAAGAGATATTTCAGGCTGGGCATAATGGCTCATGCCTGTAATCCAAGCACTTTGGGAGGCCGAGGAGAGCAGATTGCTTGAGGTCAGAAGTTTGAGACCGGCCTGGTCAACATGGTGAAACCCCAACTCTACTAAAAATACCAAAATGCAGCCAGGTGTGGTGGGGCACGCCTATGGTCCTAGCTACTCAGGAGGCTGAGGCAGGAGAATCGCTTGCACCCAGGAGGTGGAGGTTGCCGTGAGCCAAGATTGTGCCACTGCACTTCAGTCTGGGTGACAGAGCAAGACTCTGTCTTAAAAAAAAAGAAAGAAAAATTTAAAAAAAGAAAGAGAGACATCACAGCAGGGACACTACTTTCTACTGACCAATGAAAAACCTATAGTAAAGGGTTAGATCCTTGATACCCCTGAAAGTAATCAGCATGGAGTGAAGGAAGGAGAGAAGAAGCAATGAGAATTCTCATGGCTTGAAATCTAATGATATTATGGATCCATTTCACACATGCACAGGTACACACACACGCATGCACACACACACATGCATGCACACACACATGCACACACGCACATGCATGCACACATACATCACAATTTTACATGGAATTTCAGATCGAGAACTCCAGGCTACGAACCTCTCAAAACTCCCTAAGATGAGTAGAAAATGAATAAATATTTACTGTGTGTATATTTTAGGTGAGGCACTATACATGGTCCTCAGGAATATAACAGTGTAATAGAATAATAAATGAATCCATGAACAACTGGATAGATAAATACATCAATCAGTCAATCAATAGATCAATTCATGGGTGGAAAGACTGATGAATAAATGAACAAACCAATAAATGGATGTATATATTTACTTATCAATTAATAGATGGATTGATTAATTAATCACTAATGAATGGTTCATAGACAAGGAAATCAATGAACCCAATTAATGAATAATCACATGAATGGCTAGATTTATGGAACAACAGGTGAATAAGTAAATTCGTGAAGTATGAATAAATAAAGGAATAAATGAATGGCTGGATTGAATGATAAATCAGAGTTGAACAAATGAGTGAATTATTGTAATAAATGAAGGAATGCATGGATGGATTACGGGGGAATTGAAATACTGACTGATGGAAGGATAAGGGTAAAATCTAGTTCATAGAAGGATGGAGGAATGCATGAATGAGTCAATCAATGACAAATAGTCCATCTATTTGTCAGTGTTTCAAAGGATCAACTTGTGGATCAAGTAATCCAAATAAATGAATGACAGTATATGCCCTTGGATGAATTATAAACGAAAGAATCAGTGAGTATACAGGTGAATTAATGAATTAGAATGAATTCTTTAGAATGAATTGATGAAAAGATACGCGGATGAATGAATCAATTTTTAAGTGATGGCACAGAAAGTCAAATATCGCATGTTCTCATTCATATGTGAGTGCTACAAAATGTGTACACATGAACGTAGAGAGAGGAATGATAGAGAGTGGAGACTCAGAGAGCGAAGGAGCAGAAGGGGGGTTGAATGATGAGAAATGACTTAATGGGTACAATGTATGTTGTACAGGTGATAAATATCCTAACAGCCCTAACTTGACCACTATGAAACCTATGCATGTAACAAAACTGCGTATGTACCTCCTAAATGCGTACAATTTAAACAATCTTAGAACAGAAATTCCTTAAGTGATGGAAGAAATCAGTGGGAGAATGCATGGACAGATTTTTCATGCATCCATGCATCCACCAACAGAGCTGGCTTGGTTCGGGGCTAGTCCAAAGCCTGCAGTGCTCCCGGAATAGGAAGCCAGCATCCCCCTCTCATCCAGGTGGTACCCATAGCCCCATTTCTATAGCTCAGAATGGGGTCAGAAGATGCCCTTGATTGGCTGTTCCTGGCCCACCTGCGACATGAGGGTATTTGAGCATGAACAGGAAGCCGTAGCGGAGAGTGGTACTGGTGGTCTCGGTGCCAGCAAAGAAGAGCGAGAGCGTGTTGAGGATGAGATTCTGGTGGTTGAATTCACTATGTGGGTTGGATTTCTCCTGCGTCCACAGTAGGGAGGGAAGGGGAGGGTCAGGAGAGGCTGTGGCCTTGCTGTACACACGCCAGTCTCCCTGGCTGCCCTCCATCTGCCTAAAGGTCTCTGACACTGTCTGGCCCAGTTTGATTTTTTCTGTCGTCTACACGTCCAGCCGCATGCCTCTGTCTCCACTTGCTCAGCCTCTCTTGACTCTGCCTGGCTCTGTTTCTAGCTCTCTCCACATCTCTTTGATGTGCTTCTCTCTCTTTGGCTCCCAGTCTCTTTCTGCCTCTGTGAGTCTTTTCTCCTGTTGCTGTGTTTTAGTCTCTTGCCCTGAATTCCTTCCTCAGCCTGTCTTCTCTCTCTCTCTCCGCCTTCCTTCTCTCTCCATCTTAGTTTCTCCTCCCTACTTTCTCTTTTCTTACACCTCATCTTTCTTTCCTTCTGTGTCCCCTCTGTTCCCTTTCCCTATTCTCCACTCCATAGTCTTTCTTCTTCCCTCTCCCTCTTCCTCTTCTCTGCCCCTTTCCTTTCTGTGTTCTCACCTCTCCATCTTGCCCTCCCTCCCCTTTCCTCCCCTCCCTTTTCCCTCTCCCAGACCCCACCTTTTCCATGTGGAGCAGGAAGGCATCGATGAGGTCCTGGGGGGAGCTGGGGTCCAGGGCTTCACGGTGCTTCTCCACACTGTGGCCAATGAAAGCACTGATTTCCTGCAGGTTTTTATAGATTTGCCTGTGTGTCCCAGGAAAGTATTTCAAGAAATCAGAGAAGAGCTCGAACAGCTGCAAGAAAGAAGGGACGGGAGGTTTGCCTAGGGCTGAGCTAGCAGGTCACAGGGAGAGGGCCCCTCCTGGACCCCAATATCTCTGTAGGAGCCCCCCCTTCCCCGCTCGCCTCTGTCTGATCCCCCTCATTCACCAACTCTGTCGCCTTCGATCTGTTACACTCACATGTACCTCTTTGCAGCTTCCTCCCTCATCTTCTGTCTTTCTTTTGGCCTCCCATCTCCCTGCCCCTCTCCTCTCTGTCTCTCTTTCTGTGCCACTCACTGTCTACCTCAGTCCGTTTGTCTTCTCCCTCTTCCCTCCTCTCCTCATCCCCCTTGCTGTGTCAGACATTGAGAAAATGATTTTCACACAGGATAAGCCTGCTGACACTTTAGGACTATGTATGTTGGAGTATATCTCTTTTACTTCGATGGAGAATGAAATGCCTAATTTACTGTAAATAATTGCAAAAATGCAAACACATATAGTGAGATGTAAAATTCCTTCTTAATCTCTCCTTCTAGAGAAAACCATTGTTAACTGTCTGGTGGGTCTCCTTCCAGACTTCTCTCTGTGGTTCTCAGTGGGAGGAGAACATTAGAATTATTGGTCAGGCTTGTTACAAGTACTCACCTTGGGCCCCATCCCAGACTTTCCAGATCAGATCATCCGGAAAGTAGGGTCCTGAAAATCCGTATCTGTGGCAATCCCACATACACCCCTGCTTAAGAATGTCAGCCTGGCTGACATGGTGAAAATCCGTATCTGTGGCAATCCCACATATACCCCTGCTTAAGAACTGTGACTATGTCTGTTCTTAGACCAGCCTGGCTGACATGGTGAAACCTCATCTCTACTGAAAATACAAAAAAATTAGCTGGGTGTGGTGGCGCTCGCCTGTAATCCCAGCTACTTGGGAGGCTGAGGCATAAGAATCGCTTGAACCTGGGAGGCAGAGGTTGCACTGAGCCGAGATAGTGCCACTGCACTCCAGCCCAGGTGACAGAGCAAGATACTGTCTCAAAAAAAAAAAAAAAAAAGACAGAGAAGCAAGGATACAGAAGAACCAGGAGCAGGCTGGGCACAGTGGCTCACGCCTGTAATCCCAGCACTTTGGGAGGCTGAGGCGGGCAGATCACTTGAGGTTAGGAGTTCAAGACCAGCCTGGCCAACATGGCCACACCCCCTCTCTACTAAAAATACAAAAATTAGCCGAGCGGGTGTGGTGGCACAAGCCTGCAGTCCCAGCTACTGAGGAGGCTGAGGCAGGTGAATCGCTTGAACCCAGGAGGCGGAGGTTGCAGTGACCGGAGCTGGCAACGCTGCACTCCAGCCTGGATGAGAGAGAGACTCCATCTCAAACAAAACAAAACAAAACGACATCCCGGAGCAGACTAGAGACCAAGCCCAATGCCTGGTGCATTCTCTGTCTCTCTCCCTCTGCCTTTCACACTCATTCTCATCAGCTCTGTCTCTCAGGATCCCTTTATCTCTGCCCTTCTTTGTCTTGTTTTGCTCAGCTTCCTTCTCTCAGTCTCTGACTCCATGTCTGCCTCCCTATCATGCCCATTCCCTCCATCCCTGTCTCACCATCTCCCCTCCCTCCAGGTCTCCATGTCCCCGCCTCTCCATGTGGCCTCTGCCTGTCTTCCAGCTGTAAGCTGCATTTCTGGGCCCCCTTTTATTGCATGCCCTGGATGTTCACCTTGCCCCCACTCTCCCTCTCCCTCTCTCTGACCTGGCTGAATAAAGAGCTGACAAGTGAAAAGGACTGGTAGAACAAGTGCAGCAGTTTCAGGAACTCTTTGTCTTGGTAGTCAAAGCGTTTTCCAAAGACGATGGAGCAGATGATGTTGGCGGTGATGGAATGGAAGAAGAAGATGGGGTCCACAAGGGCTCCTAGGAAGCAGCAGCAGGTCAAGGACACAGACTGAAGGGCCCGGGGAACATCTGGCTGTCACCTGTCTCTGTGTGACTGTCTGACATCACTCAGTAATGATAAACATGAGAATAACCATAACAGCTAAGACTCACAAGCATGCATATGTACCAGCACTTATAATTTCACTGAACTCACTACAACATTGTGAAGCAGCTGCAATTCGATTACTAGCTCTGTTTTATAGATAGGCAGACAGAGAGGCTGAGTAATTTGGCCAAGGTTGCACAGCTACTCATTACTGAGGCCAGGATTTAGACCCAGGCAACTGAGCTATAGGGTCCATGCAGCTGGTTCTCACTCCGCACCTCCTCTCAGGCCCCACCTCTGCCTCTATGAGCAAATGCAGTTAAGTCGCAGGGGTAGGGGCTGGGTAGAGTAGGTGTTCAATCAATCGCTTATACAAATTAAAAAGCCCTACCAGGCACAGTGGCTCACACCTGTAATCCCAGCACTTTGGGAGGCGGAGGTGGGTGGATTGCCCGAGATCAGGAGTTTGAGACCAGCCTGGCCAACATGGTGAACCGTCTCTAGTAAAAATTAGGCGGGCGTGGTGGTGGGAGCCTGTAATCCCAGCTACTTGGGAGGCTGAGGCAGGAGGGTTGCTTGAACCCAAGAGGCGGAGGTTGTAGTGAGCCGAGATGGCGCCACTGCACTCCAGCCTGGGTAACTGAGTGAAACTCCGTCTCAGACAAAAAAAAAAAAAAGTCCCTAATGGGCACAGTGGCTCATGCTTCTAATCTCAGCACATTGGGAGCTTGAGGCAAAAGGATCAGGAATTCAAGGCCAGCGTTGGCAACATAAGGAGACCTTGTCTCTACAAAAAAATTTAAAATGCAGCCAGACATGGTGTCACATGCCTGTAGTCCCAGCTGAAGGCGTCCAGAAGGCTGAAATGGGAGGATCACTTGGGCCCAGGAGTTTGCAGTGAGCTATGATGGTGCTGCTGCATGCCAGCCTGGGCAGTAGAGGCCCCGTCTCTAATTTAAAACAAATGAAAAAAAACCTTTTCCTACCCCTAGCTATTCTTCTCTCTTTGTCTCTTCTCTCCACATCTAGGGTTCTCCAGTCTTCTGGGAATTGTTCGGCAATTGTTAATTGATACCTGTGTACACCAGGCTCAGCCGTGGCCCTGGCTGGAGGGAGGGTGGTCTGTGGGCGCCCAAGAACATCAGGCTGGTGCAGCCTCTGCCTCTGGGTCTCACTTGCCTGCCTTCTCTCATTCCTCTGCAGAACTTTTCCTGAGCCTTCCCTGTCTCTCTAATTTTCTCCCCCTCAATTTCTCTTTGCCTTTGTTTCTTTCTCTCTCTCTGGTTTCTCTCTCTCTCTCTCCCCCCCCCCGTGTGTGTGTGTGTGTGTGTATTTCTCTCTTTTCTTTTCTCCTTCCTTCCTTCCTTCCTTCCTTCCTTCCTTCCTTCCTTCCTTCCTT